TTAGTCCTTTCATATAAAGCATTATTATTTTCTCTTGTATTGTTTTCTGTAAATGATATTATATATGCCTTTTCTCTCTCTCTCTCTCTCTCTCTCTCTCTCTCTCTCTCTCTCTCTCTCTCTCTCTCTCTCTCTCTCTCTCTCTCTCTCTCTCTCTCTCTCCTCTCTCTCTTCTCCCTCTCCCTCTCCCTCTCCCTCTCCTCTCTCTCCCCTCTCCTCTCTCCTCTCCTCTCTCCCTCTCTCTCTCTCTCTCCCTCTCCCTCTCCCTCTCCCTCTCTCCCTCTCCCTCTCCCTCTCCCTCTCCCTCTCCCTCTCCCTCTCTCCCTCTCCCTCTCTCTCTCTCTCTCTCTCTCTCTCTCTCTCTCTCTCTCTCTCTCTCTCTCTCTCTCTCTCTCTCTCTCTCTCTCTCTCTCTCTCTCTCTCTCTCTCTCTCTCTCTCTCTCTCTCTCTCTCTCCCCTCTCCCGCCCCCTTTCCTCCCTCACCCATCCCACAGATCAGCTTCTGGGTCGTGCGGGAGATCCTGAATGCTGGGGGCGTGAAGCACCGGGCTGAGATGATGGGACATTTCATCAAGGTAGCCAAAAAGCTGAATGAATTGAATAACTTCCACTCCCAGTTCGCTATTGTCAGCGCGCTACAATCAGCGCCGATATATAGGTAAGGATGTTCTCGGACGTATAGATATGGAGAGTACGTGTGTATTGCCTTTCTCGTTGTTTTTCTCTTTTGTTTTCTTTGTCTTTGTTTTTGCTGATGTTTCTCTTCATTCACTATTCTCCAAGACTCTGATTGCCTCCCCACAGGGTCTAGCTCCCCCCCCCTAAGGGGCCACACTCCTTTTTTTTCTTTCTTTCTTTCTTTCTAAATTATACCTTTATAGCTCTGGTCATGGCCTAAGAATGCTTGTAGAGTAACTAATTTTTCAGAAATTTTCTCGGGGGCAGAAGATGAGGCACCAACACCACTGTGTTGGCTGAATGACAGGCTAGTTATGATGAAATAGCCATTTATGAGGTTGCAAAGAGCTAGTTTGGTCATTTTATGCATTTATCGTGCACCTTTGTTTCTGTAGTTTTCATTCCCAAAAGTATGGAAAAAATACCTGTACTATCTTCTGTGCTTTCATCATAAGGCTTTTTAAAAATGATACCCTTCTAGAGACTATTAATGCTAATCAGCAATGGATTAATCTTCTCTCTTAGCCGTCTTGATCCCCTGTTGTCCCACATATAGAACAGTACTGATATTCAATTGCAAAATTACTTTTATTTGTCTCACCTCAACCCTTCCTGGATTTCTAGATTAAACAAGACGTGGGCTGCCCTCTCACGGAAAGACCGGCAGCAGTATGAGCGGATGGTGGAGCTTTTCAGCGATAAAAACAACTGGGAGCAACTCAGGAGTCACGTGAACAGCCTTAAGCTTCCCATGATCCCTTATCTAGGTATGGCTGCGCTTCTCTGCTTCAGCAGCGGCTTCCTTTCCCACACTTTTTATCATAGTATCCAAATATTTTATTTGGTAATAAGGAAAAATGTAGATTTATTTTTCATACATATTGAGATAGATATGGTAGGTTGCTATTTTTTGGTTTAAAAAGGAGCAAATTCAATATTTTTTTTTGAAAATAGATTATATGTGACATTGATCTTTTCCACATAATCAAATATTCATCTTCTTGATGATATTTGATTTACAGTCATGTTACCAGTTTTGTAATGAATTTATCTTATGTTAAAAAAGATGTAATATATATCTTATAGGGAAACCCATGCCTCTTTAGAAAGATCTATGAATGTCTTTTTATCCTTCTCGCACAACCTACAGGTCTCTTCTTAACGGATTTGGTGTACATCGACATGGCTCACCCTCACTTCGGGGGCCTGGAGTCAGAGCAGAGACAACTGAAGATGAACAACATCCTCAGAGTTCTGGCAGATTACCAGCAGTCTGATTACTCTGCCCTTCCTCACCTGCAGCATGTACAGTCGTATCTGGCTTCTGTCAGATACATTGAGGAACTTCAGAAGTTTGTGGAGGATGACCACTACAAGTATGTGACAAGCATGTTTTGTTTTTTTTTCTCCCTCTTTTCCTCCCCCCCCTTCTCTCTCTCTCTCTCTCTCTCTCTCTCTCTCTCTCTCTCTCTCTCTCTCTCTCTCTCTCTCTCTCTCTCTCTCTCTCTCTCTCTCTCTCTCTCTCTCTCTCTCTCTCTCTCTCTCTCTCTCTCTCTCTCTTTCTCTCTCTCTCTCCTCTCCTTTCTCTCTCTCTCTCTCTCTCTCTCTCTCTCTCTCTCTCTCTCTCTCTCTCTCTCTCTCTCTCTCTCTCTCTCTCTCTCTCTCTCTCTCTCTCTCTCTCTCTCTCTCTCTCTCTCTCTCTCTCCCCTCTCCCCTCCCTCCCCTCCCCCCCTCCCCCTCCCCCCCTGCTATCCATCTGTTTTTTTTTTTTTTCCATTTTATTCTGTTCCTCTTCGTTTCCTTCATTGCCTCCTCTCTTCATTTTTGTATCCTTTCTCCTTCCTTCATCCCCCCTTCTTACACCTTCCTGTTCCCTTTTCTTTTTCCTTCTGTCATCTCTCTCTTCATATATACTCCATCATTCCCATCTCATGAGATCAGAATTCCCTTTAACAGGCAAATAGTTATTAGTAGCCGTTTAAAGTTTCATTCATACTGCTGAATACAGTTTTGATTTTTTATTTAGCTGTAAAAGAAATAGTGAAGGAGATTGCTTGATTGTCAGTTATTGTTTTCTTATTTTAAAGGGAGTAAAATGCATTGTATGTTTTATTAGACATATAAACTCATTAATGCATACCTAACAATGAATTGATGCTGTTAAGAAAGTAGTTTGAAAAATTGCTTTTAAAAGATTTATATATTTTTAAGCACTCTGAAGAAGGCCAATTATTCAGTCAAACAGTCCCTTCTAGTGAATATAAAATCTGTGATCTTGTTTTGGCAATTTTGGTGACCATATGCCCCATGCAATAGGTTGTCCCTCCAGCTGGAGCCAAACACCCCAAGCAGCAGCCACAGTGCCAGCAAAGATAGCGTAGCGGATGCAGCGGGAGGAGTCAGCTCACTCAACCTGTCTCCTGTACGACCTGGGGTGGGGAGACCACCAGCTCCCCCTCCCACACACGGTTGTCCGACTCATGGGCCCCAGAGCAAGTTTGTGCCAGGCCATCGCAAGGCTCGGAGCTTAGGGACAAAGTGAGTTTAAATTTCCTCCTCTTCGTTTGTGGTTTTAAAGACTTATGTGTATAGATTTATGAAATCCAGCTGTTAGATATGTCATGTTACCTCATTGCAGTGTCTTTTGAATTTTTTGGAAGTCAGACATCTTGACACAATATTTCTGTTCACTGTTTGTGCACCGTGCAGGTCCTTTTTAAGTTGTTAAGCTTGAGAGACTGTTAATACACTTTTATTAATCAATTGAAATACTTTTTTAAGAATATACTGTGTTTTCCCTTAATAGCACATTCCCACATTAATTCATGGTATGGCCATCATTGTGGTGTTTTAATTAAATTTTTGTTTATTGTGAGGATTGAATTTTGTTATGTACGCTTCTCTGTTTAATGTATTGTGATGAGCCCATCCCCTCTGCAGGTATATAGCATACACCATAGTCAAAAAGGCTTAATCATTTAGATATGGCAATTTGCCTGATTGTGCATATATGAGAGCAAATGAAACAAGCTGCTTCTTAACCCCTTGTCATATTTTTTGAGTTCAATTGCAGTTTACATAGCTATGCCATTCAACCTCTCAGGCTAAAGTAATGTGCCACAAACTTGCCTGAATATGCTCAGATTAAATTGTTCCTTACCGTACGTAATACCCCACCACTGACGCTATCAAACCACCTTGTCCCAAACATTGCCGCCATGCTAGATTTCGGAGTATGAGCCTCCCGCGCAATCTCCACCGCTCGGAACCCCAGAACCATGGGGTAGACCGCTTCGGGTGAGTCCTGCACCAGTGCTTGACCTGAGTTGTCCTGCCTTGGTTGGTTGGTTGGTTGGTTCTTTCTCAACACCAGCTTCCCCTCCAGTCCCCCTCCCCCATCCCCCACTCATGTATCCTGTCATTGCCTAGGACCTGGGTATTGCACTGTTTGAGTTTCTTTTTTTTTTTTCTTTGTTTCTTTTTTTTCTGGGTGTGATACATTTTTTCCAAGGTTTTAGTTCCCTCTTCCGTCCCACCTGCCTTCGTTCCCTTTATTTTGGAGGATTCAGGCCACTTGCTTGGTGCTTGCGTATTTTTATTCAAAGAGGAGGATGGTTGGATTTTAGTTTCTCTCCTTGGGCCAACCTCAAGCAATCCCATATGGTAGTAGTTGACAGACCACCCTGTGCAGGCATTTCTTTTATTTTCATCATTGATCGTATTCCATTTAGTACTTAAGTATGTCCTTTGTGGCAAGATTTAAATTGTTCAACATAGTATTAACAATTTAGTTTGTTCTATTTTTAAGGGGTCCATTGGCGTGTTCTGTTCCCAAAGGGCTTCTTCCCCCACATGCCAACCTCACTTGCTCGTCCTCCTCAAAAACCCTTAGTAGGATTGTCAGCCAGCTTCCTTTCCTGACCATCATAGGTTGGGACTAAAGCATTATAATAATAATGATAATAATTAAAAAGAAAAAAAAAAAAAAACAGCCTTAAGTTATAGATTTTTATATATATTTCTCCCCTCTTCCCCCTCCCTCTTTCACTCCCAACAGTTATGCTTATTTTGCAATAGATCAAATGCACCACCACTTTGTTGTTACTTTGATCCTCCTCTGAGTGAGCAAAAAGTGTCATTTTTGGTTAATCTGCGGGTGAGTTTGGTCCGTGGGAGTATACTAATGCTCATGGGATAGTACCTGTGTGTCTGTGTCATTGTCTGTCTCTCTGCCTTTGTCTCTGCCCGTGTCTGTGTAAGTAAGACAGTGAAGGGATGAACTAGAAAAGGCATGAATATGGTATATTCATGTTTTTGTGTTCTTCCATTTATTGTTTTATTTACAATATGCTTGAATCCTGCACTGTGTGTCTGTGTCTGTGTCCGTTTGTGTAAATGAAAGAATGAAGGGAAGAACTAGAAAATGCATGAATATGGTATATTTGTGTTTTCTTATTCTTCCATAAAGTGTTTTATTTACTATTTGTTCAGTATGAATCATGCATGTGAGTGAGTGAGTGAGTTAGTGTGCGTGCATGGGTGACCATATGCATGCACTGTGTGTGTGTGTGTGTGTGTGTGCGTGTGTGTGTGCGTGTGCATGAGTGGACATGCTTGCATATTTTTTTTTGTGTGTGTGTGTGTGTGATTGTGTAATTTGTTGTTGTATGTCTGTCTGTATATGTAATTGTTTTTGTTTGAGTGTGTATTATTGTGTGCACATGCATATTTTTATGTTTGTTGCCATCTACAATGATAGTTTCATACAGTTTGCAGAAATTGTATGTATTTTGATGAAGTACAATTATTAGTTGCTGAAAGATTAGCTTTCCATTAAAGAATCAGACTTTGAGGAGGTTCAAGGTGTGACAGCTCCCCCTTCAGCACTTTTATGTTTTACACTTAATGTTTTTATTTTGTCATGTCTTTTAGTTTGGAATGCCACTTTGCACCTATATGATTTTTTTTCTTTTGTTGTTAATATAAGTTAATATAATATATGTTGTTTATGTAGGGTATGAATTCAACAGAGGTAGGTTTCTATATAAGAATTAGTTGCTGGTAAGACGAATTTTTTAGAGTTACTAAGAGAATATTCATTATAATTATTTTATATTGGTATCATACAGTTTCCCCATTCTTATTTTGGCTTTTCGATTACGTCCATCTAGCCCCCCCGCCCACCCGTCCCCCTTTAGTAACTTAGAGCAACTCCCCCCCCCCCCCTCCACTTTCCCCTACCCCAAGACACCAGGAAGGAATACTTTAATCAGTAACAAACATCTCTTCCACAGTCAATCTAAAAATTGCGAAACACAGTCGGACGGCTGGATGGCCTGCAGCAACTTACACGTATACTTGAGCCAAATGTATGAGAGCTTGCATGTGCTCGTAATGAATGGGTTTTCTAAATGGAGGAAAAGAATCCCTGAATATTCTTTCGCACCCTTGCATTCCGCGGATTTCGTATTTGTGCCAGCTGAATTGTAAGATTTTCCTTCGAACCATCTTCTTCATGTGCATAATATTTATTATGAATAATTATGATGATGATCATCAATTATCATTATTAATTTTACTATTATTGTTATTATTATTATAATATAATTATAATTATTATTTTATGTTATCATCATTATTATTATTACCTCTCTTATTATTTTATTTCTATTTTTAATTATATTTCCTATTATTATTATTTACTTAAAATTAAAAAACATGGAATTATACACACACACACACACACACACACACACACACACACACACACACACACACACACACACACACACACACACACACACACACACACACACACACACACACACACACACACACACACACACGATATATATGTACATATATATACTTATATTTACATATATATACATATATATACATATATGAATTATATATACATATATAAACAATATATACATATATATACATATATATACATATATATATATATATATATACATATATATATATATAATATATATATATATATATGTATATATATATATATATATATATATATATATATATAATATATATATATATATATATATATATATATATATATATATATAATATATACATATATATATATACATTATATATATATATATATATA